TTTCTTAGCATCATAGACAACTGCTACTTCAATAAAAATGGAACTCGTAAATTAACATATCTTGTCATTTGTCATTTGCAAACTCACAATTTATATTGTTTAAATAAATTTTTGGGTTCGTTATATTCATATTTCACTGCTACTGGATATGAAACTGACGAACTAAGCGTATGAATATGATAAGAAAAAGCGCCTTTTCCGAAATTGTGAAATTCTTGACCCTTGGTTAAGAGATTCTATAGTGCTAGGAGAGGGATCTATTGATTAAAAATTTAGTCTGATTTATCGCTTATCTTACGATGTTTGTTTTAGAATATAATTTGATAGGTAACTGCAAAGGATAGAAGAGGTAAGGTACACATTATAATCAGTTCACAGTAGTCAACGATCATTTAATTAAAATCATTAAAGAAACACAGGGCAGGGTGGGTAACGACTGGTGTTTCAACAGCAATTAACGACTCGAAAAGTGACCAATTACCCCCCGGATGTCAATCTGGAGAGCCTTAATTATCTAAGAATCAGCTTAAATAGATAGGTGAACATGCTAACATTTCTGAAAATGTTATTTGTATTTTTGAAATTGAATTCTTAGGATATTGCATTCAAATTTACACATTTATTAATTTTTTTTCCCGACTAACCGATTACAGATTTTCTAACCGATTACCAACGTTCCGACCGAGTAACCGGTTAACCGATTACAAATTGCCATCCCTAATATATATATATATATATATATATATATATATATATATATATATATATATATATATATATATATATATATATATATATATATATATATATATATATGTTGTTGCTGAGTACTAGGCTAACTATTTTCTATCATTTTTATAAATCAAATACGTATTAAGTTGCAATTGTATCGATTCTTTATAGAGTTGCATTAAACTCAGGTGACCGTTAAAGCACTTCCTCCCCCTGTTTTTTCATTATATTCTGTTTAACAGAAAATTGAAAGAATTCCCTTCAGAATTGAAAGTAAAATACAAAAATGTTATCCTTTAGGTTGGTTAGATATCCTTTAAACACAATACCAATAATCCGTCCAATTCATTCCATTCATATTTAATACCCTATGCTTAAGGAACCTCTATATTTTTACCAACTTTCAGTCACAATTTCACATTGATTTAAAAAAAACTTTGTTTTATGGAAATTATGCGAGAAGGCAGGATTAATCACGTTATCAAAATAGAAATCAAAACGAACATTTGAAATTAAAGTAAAGATGGATTGAAACAAATAAATACTTTTTTTCGCGTTTATATAATTTAGTAAAGATAAGCCATAGGAACAGAAACAGTCAGTATTTCCATATAGAGAAAGCAATTATCTGCAAGTGTATTCTCAAATTGGAACACCAAAAACAAAGAGGCTTTTATTGCAAAATTACATTGATTTTAGTAAATAAAATACAAAAAGAAGTGTTGCAAAATATTAATATATTGATTAAACAACACCACTAATGAATATCTGCTTGTGGACAATCTGTCCCCGAGGATACTTGTCATTAATCGGTATATATTCTTCTATGAATATTAGCAAGATAAAGAATTCCACACTGACTGACATGCCGTAGAAGGTATCACTCTGTTGACATTTTAAAGGGCACTAACTCTAACAGAATGGTTATCCTTCGAGACACAAAGAATTCGTCTTATAAAGAGTCTTCAGATAGCCAGTTTTATAATAAAACGGACAACACCTCTACTAGAATAAAAGATTGTAAAGTTTCGATCAAACATTTTGAAGATTCCTATTAGGACACTATGTGTTCCAATTCCCATTTTGTACGAAAATTGTAAAACCTGTGATATTTTAATAACAGGAAATTGTTTAAAAAATAAATAGTGGAAGTGAGTTTGATTTACCGTACCTACCGGTATACTGGATTTCAAAAATTCATAAAAACCCTTACGAACAAAGATATATTGCAGGGTCTAGTCAATGTTTAACCAAGCCCCTATCCTTACTCCTCACCAGAATATCAACTGCTGTGAAAGAGGAGCACTGTGCTTCAACATATTCAATACATGTAACTGGTGTTAATCAAATATTAGTTCTAAAAAACTCAAAAGAACTTTTGGAAAATTAAAATCTCAAAACTTTTCGAACATTAATAGTATTAGAACAAATTACTTTTCTAAGCTTAATACAGCCATTCTTCACAGTTAATTAGGGAGAAGCTTTTTGACATCATAGACAACTGCTTGCTCAATAAAAATGAATCTTGTAAATTTTTATATCTTGTGATTGATCATTAACAAAATTTACTTCGTTAAAAATCACTCTGATTCTAAATAAAAGTACTCTGAAGCTGATATTACAAGGATGCTGGAGTTCCTCATTGACAATCTGTATGTAGTCTGTGGAGACTAGGTCTTCCAACAATGGGCACTTATTGTGCTCCTTTCTTAGCCGACTTGTTTTTATATTTCTATGAATTTTCACGAGACCATTGCTGTGGCCTTCAACTCAATATTTATATATCGACGACATTTTGTCAATTAACAAAGGTGACTTTCATTCATGTGTCGACTTGATATATATCCCAGTGAATTCGAAATAAAAGACATCATAGAGTCTGACACATCTGTTTCATATTCGGATATATAATTGACTATAGACGATAATAGACAACTGATAACTGAACGGTATGACAAACAAGATAACTTCCGCCTTTTCATCGTCAATTTCCCCTATTTATGTAGCAATATTCCAACATCACATGCATATGATGTTTTATGTCTCCCAAATAATTCGATACATAAGATTACTCTGAATACGATTGATTTTAAACCGATGCAGGCTTCTGACAAGTAAGGTGATGTTACAAGGAATTCAAGAATCCCGTTTAAAGTCCGCTTTTAATTACAATCTATATTTGGGTATTTTTTTTTACTGACATTTTTCATACAATTTGTTAGATCATTGCTTTTGTACTAAATTTAATTACGGAGTACTCCGTCTTCTTGATCAATACATAGGGCTCTCAGCGAATATGACCAACCGAAAGGGAATGCTTAGTTCTCCTAGGCACCTGATCGCATCTCTGGTGTTTCCAGGGTCCGTATTTTTGCCCTGTTCATGAATCGTTTTGTTTACTAGAAATGAGATTGTTAAGTATTCGTTATCTTAAGCTTTTTACATTATACATGTACAAATTATCAAGTGTTCTTATGTTCATTAAATATCTACTCAAAAACACCAAGCTATGATAGACAATCAATGTGCATATTAGCACTTGGTTAAAAATTCATGTAATAAAAATAATAAAAATGCGATCGGCATATGACTTCAATTAAATCATCTTGTGAATGACGCAATAAGAGGCATCTAAATTAAAATCATTGTAAAATTAATAAACACATAAAGTTGAATTTGAAACTCAAGCTCATATTATCACATGGGGATTTCAATTATCATTTATCTACTTCTTAATGTCTGTGTTTCCTCATGCAAATGAAATTCTCAGAATAGAGAAAATATTATTTTACTTAATAAGCAGATGTCTACTACTTTTTGAGTGACAGCCATCATTTTATTACTGATTTTGTTTCCTTCACAGAGAATATGAGAGAATTGAATTAGCCTTAAAATGCGTATACACCTCGATGAAATAAAAATCGAGGAACGAGAATACATAAGCGGATCGCGCTGAGTGGGTGGGGAATTAAACACATACAAAAAAGCCCTAAATGAAACAAGCATCATTTAAAGTTCTTAATTGCAAATCATGACAAACGTGAAAAGTACGTGAAAACGATCAATTTTGCCGACTCTTCTAACTTCCCATTGCATACAATTTTGAAGTTCAATCCGATACAGTGAGGTTTAGCCTGAAGTACGTATCATTTTGACGTCATTATGGTACGCACTTTATTTGCAGTGAGAAACATGCAGATCAAATATTTTTTTTCACAGTGAAAAATGTGTTTAACATTATTTTTTGGTATTTAAAATATCCTTTAACTGAAATTTTTGAAAAATGTCATAAGTTATACAGTATAGGTAAGTTAAGGTTACAAATATGGTGAATGGGCCTTAATTATACGCGAATAGTATAGTTTATTAACAATTCTTCACAAACAAGAAAATAAATAATTGGTGATTTTAAATTGTGTCAGAGTTTCCAGAAACGTGAATGCCCGTACGAAGAAACTACAACGAATCATAATCAAACTTGTTGAATTTCCGCTTACGCTTTTCAAAAACTTTCACTTACACAAATTAGTACATATTTTCTATTAACTAATGGAACAACATCTAGTACAGAGTGTAATCAGCTTATTCAGCTATATTCTTATAGTAAATTTCCTGCCGATATTGGAGTCATTCCTCTCAAACTCACGAGATGTGTCAACCTAAAATATCCCAAATAAAATGATTAGGTTTACTCACAGTAATTAAACAACACGTGAGAGGAAATATATAGTAAGATGCAATAACGTGATTGACGGTCATAAAAGAAATAAGGTTGATTATTCAATGGAAAATTAATGTTCATATCATTTAGCATAAGATTTAAAAAAAAATCATTAAAATTAAATTGTAATATAAAGTAATAAAATTTTAAAGACAGCAGATCAATTTTGAAATCCAAACTTGATATACGGATGTACATGTATATTAGCTGACTTATCTTTCTTTTATTGAAAAAAAAGAAAGAATTGATGAAACAGTCAGCAAAGCCCTTAAAAAGTCTTAAGAGGTAACATTTAAGAGGAAATTCTTTTTTTTTTCCAAATACTTCCCAGAGGGAAGAAATGATTATCTATCCGACAAATCGTGTAATTCGAACTCACTTTCTAATTTTGACTTATGGAATTAACAAAATATATATAATTATTGTAATAGAATATCTCCAGTTATATATAGAGAAACATAAGGCTTGTAATGAAATACGAAAGTTATAGATTCCCCATATCTATTAATAGATTATGTTGACTAGCCCTTGGTGTCGTGGAATAGGGGCCCTGCCGATGTTTTGATTTATCTTTTTATGCTTAAACTGTAGCCATGGTAAAATGGTAAGACTTTGTTTCTTTTGTATTTAAATCTATTTACGGTACATTTGATTCATGCAAACATATGTGACTAAACATAGGCGTAGTACGTAATATATGTGTACGTGTAAATTCGGTTAATTGTTCTGTTTATATTTTTTTCTTAGTACTATTATATAATTATCTGTTGAATGTATTTATCTCTTAAATGTTATCATTTTTGATTAAAAATGATAACTGGCAGGTTAACATTTATTTTTCTACTTTCGCTTTCAACTGAAACTGTCAAAACCAATTCATGCTTGACCTCTTTCACCCGCTAATTCAAGTTTACATTTATATTAATATGTGATAAAAGTTTTCCCCTTAGTACACAGGTGTTGAAACATAAAAGTAGATATGAGAGCTTTGCCGTGCTTTGTTTATGACCCATTTTAGATCATATTCACTTGCACAATTAAGTTTTTCAAGTGTGCTCTTTACGGAAGAGAAACCAGGTCATGGGCATTATCTAGAGTTTGTGAGGCCGCATAAAATTAATATTTAGATTTTCATCCTCGGCTGGGGCAGGGATGACCCAGCGGGGGCATGGGTCGAAATGATTCAGTATTATAGTAGTATTTTGACTGTCTTGTTATTTAATTTGAATAATTGATAAAAAGAAGTGAGTTTAATAAATAGAACATTAAGGCACACATGTTTATACATGTACATAAAATCATAAAATCTTGACGTTTCCATTTTTAAAAAAAATTAATTTAATGTTTAAATGGTAAAGTAGGGTTTAATGACAACTGGATATTTATCTTTTCTTTTTCATTTTGAAATATTTATTTAAAGCTTTTATGTCAAAGTACTGATAAATTAAAATTTGGTATTATTACTTAAAATGCATAGAAAATTTTATTTTTATTATACACATACTCACTTACAATGATAGGTTAATTGGCGAACTGAATGTCTACTTTCATCCTTTCTATTTTCTTCCTATGCTGGAATATAGATTTTTTTCTTTGAATGTTGTTCGATTGTATCGGAATATCCCCTGAAATATGATTTGCAATGACAGGACATTTGTTGTTTTTGTTTTACAGAATAAAAAGAAAGACAAGCCAGGAAAATTTTCCTTTAGGAAAATCAAAAAGGTCTGATTGTGAAACTATGTCAAGTACTGTGTTTGCTGCATTTTCAAACATTGTAAGTGTCAATTTAATATATCCTTATCATACAGAATAAAAACAAGGACATAGAAGCTCCAGAAGAAGAAGCAAAAAGGCTTACAGAATCCAAGGTTAATAATGAAGAGCTAATAACAGCACCTGAAAATAACGTGAGTGGAAAATAAAATTTTATCATGAATTCTGTAAATTTGGTAAAGAGTTGGACAGGATAAATGTACGGTTAAAAAATAAATGTATCATGTTTAAATGTTTGATATTTTTATGTATAAACTAACCTCCAGGGGGTAAAATATGAAGTATAAATCGACTTATCATTATACAGGTACATCCTAAAGTAGTAAATGTGAAAACTGAAAGCTCAACAGTGAAACAGGAGAGGGTCAACGAGAGGCCGGTGGATGTTGGTCCCGTTCTGAAGAATGTGATTCAAAATACACAGAGTCAGGTGAGAGAGAGAGAGAGAGAGAGAGAGAGAGAGAGAGAACGTAAAGAAATCTCTGAATAGAAACACCGTTGTCGTCATTCTATATATTCTTTTCATATGCACGGATGAGTGATATGTCGTCTTCAATGTTGCACCCAAAGGGATGATTATTACATAATTATTAATTCTTGGACTCAAAACATACAAATTTAGATGAACTTTTCTTACTTTTACCTCTTAAATCCAATCGTTGCAGGTTGTAAAACAACTTTTTCCTCTTCTGTGAAATCATTAGATTTTGTAGTGGCTCAATTTTTGTGGAATTCGTTGGTACCTCTCATCTACGAGTTATTATCCTCCACGAATTAATAAACTATGGTTAGAAAGTCATACTATAAGAGAATACACGAAATTACGTCCCCACGAATCTGTTTAAGCAATCCGCGAAAATTGGCCCTTAAGACTTTTAATGATTTCACAGTATTTTACCAAGTGATATTGACTGACATATCTAAGAAACTACTGCATTTTTCTTTTATTTTCTTGATCATTTCCATCTCTCAATTTGGCTCATCCAAGATCACATGATCAAGTATAAAATATTATAAGGAGGTGTTTCTTTTTAAAGATTGAGAAAATGCTAGCCAACTTGATATTTCTAAAAAATTGGCCGACATACACTTTATGTGGGCAAAGCAGATACAGAAGCGAAACTCGGTAGATAAACGTTTTTGGCACAATCATCTACTAACCAATACACATAGATTACATGAAACCACTTTGAGATGGTACTAGTAAGTTAATCAATACATGTATGTAGGTCATGTTTTTGTACTATTGTAGAAGGTTATGTATAGGTCATGCTTTTGTACTATTGTAGAAGGTTATATATAGGTCATGTTTTTGCAGTATTGTAGAAAGTTATATAAAGGTCATGTTTTTGCTGTATTGTAGAAGGTTATATAAAGGTCATGTTTTTGCAGTATTGTAGAAGGAATCTAATGAAATGTGAAATAAACGAATAGTAATCATGCTCAAAAGTCCAATTAAACAAACAGTTGTGAGCAGACCCTCTGAAAACAGACTCTGCGGTCTGATCAGGTGCCATGGAGGAGTGAGCATCCACTAACGACCGGTGTCCCGCCCGACGTGTGTCCATTGTCATAATCTGGTAAACTGAACAATCTGTAGACAATTCAATGTGACAATAATGGCCTGACAATTTCTATGAAAGACGTTAGTTAACATTCGATCAAGCGATGGACTGTATTTGCAAACAAGGTAATTGTATCAACTGGAGAATTTGCAAAATATTGACTTAATACGAGATTGTTGATATCGTTATATCATCAACTTATTTTTTAGTAGCCTGCGTCGTTTTAGAAATTGTTTTGAACATGCACTTGCGTATCATCGATTCAACTGGGAGAAACATACCTCATATGCAGGTGATAATTGTATATTGCTTTATGAAATGTATGGAGATAACGAACAGTATTCAAGCTCAAAAGTCCATTAAACAATACAAATTTTGGAGCAGAGCAAACACGGACCTCTAAAACATCAGAGGTGTGATCAGGTGCCATGGAGTATTAATAAGGGACAATTACGATAGAATAGTTAGTTATGATCATAAACTTTAGTGTGTACGTCCAAATATGAAGTAGATGTGTCAAACTCTCTGATGTCATTTATTTGGAGTTCAGTATATATCGAGACGACGTAGGAATGAAAATGAATAATGTTAATCGATGAAAACGTCGTCGAGATTTCTAAATGTCAAATTGAAGGCCAAAATGAGACTTATTATTTTTAATGTAGTATGAGACTTATTATTTTTAATGTAGTTGTTTTTGAATAAAGTTTGCTTCATAAGATTACAAAATCAGGCCTTCTTACAACGGGGTACAATTAGTACCATCGGAATTCCAACAGATTGTTGGAAGACCATGTCTTCAACCAGTCAGAAACTCATGATTTTTGAAATAACACCCGGAGTACACACACACACACACCCTCACACACACACACACACACACACATATATATATGTATATAGTATCATTTTTTTTAAAAACAAAATAAGTTTGCAGACGACCTGACAATGAAAAGATTTGCAAATTTCCGCGTTCCATTTTTATTGTTTTTATTGACGAAGGATTTGTCTAAGATGTCAAAAAAGTATGATCTTTAATTTTTCGTTGGGAATGGTTTTATAAGATGTGGAAAAGTCGTAAGTTCTGATGCTGCTCATTTTCGAAGAATAGTGTTATTTCAGATTTCCTAAGAGTTCCTTGGAGCGTTTAAGTATCCACATTTGATAAACACTACTTCTCTACTTGACAACTTCTGGAAACTGCAATTGCCGCACCCTGCAGTTTACTTTAGTTGCATATTCTGATGTTTTACTTCGCAGATTTAATAACACTTAGACATGTAAGAGATTTTAACTGCTGATTCCAATTACCAGAGTAAAAAAAAAACTGTGACCTCCTTGTGAATCTGGTTTACTTTTCAGAACGATAACAGCGGTAAAAAGTGTACGTGGTTTTAATGAAACATCGAGTGCTTCCTAAAATTTTCAAATGAAATCACTTTCTGAATTCTTTTCTGAATGTTTTCTGAATGCTTTTCAGGGAGTAAAATGAAAACCATCATTTAAAAAAAATGAATCTATAATGTTTGAAGAATCTGCATCATGTCGAATGGGTACTTTCTTCCTGTTGAAAATGTCATCGTACATGAATTCAATTGCGCTTCAATTCAGTGGTAATTTACATTATTTGTAGGACTGACGTTTTCTCCAATAAATCAATAATGTTGAACATTATCAGAAATCCCATGTTTGCTGTGTAATACTTTTCAAAGTCGATACGACCTCTTTTTAAAAATTATGTCACTAATTATAGACACAAATTAAGCGTCTCAATCGCTTCTACCTTTAGTGTACAGTGCGCTTGACATGGGTGTTCCAGTTTTTTAATACATTTAATACCGTTCATTTCTTTCGATGGTATCACTTGTTACATCCATTGCTGCAATTTAAAGAATTATTTATCAATTTTTATGATTACATATTAAGTCATCGTTCTTCACTGTTAGCACAGCAAATAAGTACCCATAGAACTGTTTTACTGTACCTTTTACAGAGAGAGTCATCTCCAGTCCAAAAGATCCAAGCACCAAGGTCCGCAGACTTCTCAGTTCCGCAAAACCACAGTACATTGACTCATCCGTCAACGGAAAGGGCAAGTAGTTTCTTAATCTGTTCGTTTCATTAATTTTAAGTATAGGTATCATAGATCTGACCTTAAGGACGGATGATACAAAAAAATGGATGTCTGGATTGGTATATACAGTACTGTATTTTTGGACCTATTTTGATTGTAAATAATGCAAATAAAAATATCTAAAATATTAAGAATTTGCAGACCTTCTATGATGTTCAAAATATTCTAAACTTCTGCACCCCTCTTATTAATGTATACAATTTCTTGTCACTTAAAATCACATTATTGTGAAACTTTGAGTAAAAAATTAAAATCTATGCGGTTAAAATTATTCATTTTACTTATACATGTGTATAAACATGATTAAAGTTGTCATTTTCAAAATTTTTGATAAAAGTTTGTTTGTATCATTCGTCCTGAAATAAAATAATTTCTTTAAAATAATTTTCGTATATAGAAAAAAGAAACATTCAAGGAGATGAGACTTAAAATGAATCATTTGCATTCAAAGCTGTCGATATTTTGATATAAATTTTATTTTAATAAATTATAATAATACAAAATCAAGATTAAGGCAAATTTTGATTACGTCTCTGTAGCTGTCAAATTATTCCTATAATATACTCCTTTTATTGCTGAAATATAAAACAGTTACATGTACATATAAAGTCGTTCCTCGTATCACAAAATAAAAAGACATGTAGTATTATTTTGAAAATATAATGCTAATTTTTTTTTAAAATCTTGTATATATATAAAAAAAGACTTTTGGTTTTTGAAAAAAAAATGAACAAAGCGATGAAAAATTCAAAGTGTCATATCCCAGGTATACTGTAAAGTTTATTCGTCATGAATTAAAATAAATAATATCCATTTATTAGTGAAAAATTTGGGAATTTTATTTATCATACACGTTTTGTCCCTTTTCTAGAATGGAGGTTACCCCAAAACATTGGAAAGTGTTGAACCAAAAGGATCGAAGAGAGTACATAGTTATTCCCGGGAGTCGCCAGAACAAAGCTCACCCCAGATGTTGGTCAGTTAATGTTTCAAATGAACTTCAAAAATCAGTCCATTCGAAAACCTTTTGTTTTGTTAGGGCAGCTGTATCACTCAGGCGATTTTAGTGTTCACCTGTCATCATGTGTTGTCTACAATGTGGGCCCTCTGTCGTTTGTAAATTTTTGAACATATTAAGTTTCTTCTCTGAAATTGGTGAACGAATTTCAATATATACAGTATATAGGATCATGGGATAAAGGAGATTAGGTCCCTAAGTGGGGTTAACGTTTTCATATATTGGGCATATATTAAAAATGCATTATATATGTTAAACTTTAGCTGCTGAGCCAATAAATATGTCAAATTTCCTTTTATTAATTAAACATTTTCTTTATCACTTACAGCCTATGGAGGAAAGAAGGAAATTAAAACAGTTTGCTTCTGTCCGAAGTCCTAGCTCTGTAAATATTTTTTTTTTCAATTTAGAACTGCTGAAATATATTTTATCACTTCCAGAGGTTTAAATTTTTAGTTAAAATATAAATTTTACTTAGTGTTTATATTCGAAAAAAAATTTCTTTAAAATCATGATTGTATTGTCGCACAGCTGTTTATAATTGCAATTCTCTTTTCAGAAAAAAGATAGCGTGTCTTATGAAAATGAGGAAACGACTTCCTCAGAGGTTATTAATTTTGTTTTTGATTGATACAGTCTAGCTAATCCTTTATTTAAGGATTAAACAAATAAGAAAATAAATCAGACTACCCCTTTATGATATGATTTTATGCGAAAAGATCTTAAATGAAACAGTAGTAATTATTTTCTGTTGAAAGTATTTTCTGTTGTTTTGTCCAAACTGAAAATTATAAAAAAAAAAGATTCTAGATGACTTCAGCAAATACTGTTGTGTCTTTATTTTCTATAAATAATGACTCTTATTTTACTGATTCATAAAAATATACAATAACAGTGATCTTTTCTTTTCCATCTCTAACTACAGAAGAAAAAGAAAAGTCGTTCTATCCTGGGATCCATACGAGGAAAAAAATCGGTAAATAAACACAAAGTTTATAAGTTTTGAAAACGTGAAATAGACCAGTAAGATGATAAAAAAAATGAAAATAGAGCCAAAGTTAAAATTTATTAAAATATTGATAGATGATGATTTAGTCTGAATGCTTTGGTTTGAGTATACATTGTTACAATTAAATATAGATAGCTTATTGTATGTTTTATTAAAGAAAAAAGCCAAACGGAGTTTAACAGATGTATTTGAAGAAGAAGCAAAGAAGACAAACCATGAGAATGAGAAAGTGGTAAATTAATAATTGTAAAAACTCAGCACACATTTCTCTGGAGAGATCAATTCTTGCTAGTTATATAGGTTCCTTATATACACATATTGCATGATTTTTTTGTTATTTTGTCATTAGTAAGCACTTTCAAATAATGTACAAAATCATATTTAAATATTACTCAGGCACTTTATTATTTAATTTACATGTATATCCAGACGTGAACAAGAAAATAATAAACATTTTTTTTGGTTAACATTCTGAAAACTGTTGAAATACGTTTATCATTTTTGAAATTATATACATAATGATATATTATTAGTTTTATTGTATGCTTAGTATTGCAACAATTAAAAACTTTTTAGAGCTGATTATAAACGTAAATCTTTATCATAAACAGTCGACAATTGGTGGGAAAAACGAAAAGATGCGGAATGATTTAAATTACTTACGATTCGATTAAAATTTTATTTTGTACAACTTGTGGAACAGTTAATTTTGTGATTGTCTTAAGTTACAATATAAGAGTTAAAAAAAACAAACAAGTATTTAAACTGAATGATCAGTGACATAATGTAAACTACTAAACATAAAAATTGCTTGGGAAGAAGTTGGTTTTGATCACGTATAATCACACTGACTTGATTACTAACAGTCACCAGATGACGATGATTCAGATGAAGAGGAGGAAGATGATTGGGATGATGATCCTAATAATCCTTTTTCATCGTCTTTTCAACCAAAGGAAGTTCATAGAGCACAACCAGTATGTGTTATAATCAGAATATAACTCTCATACTGTCATGTGTAGCAATATGCATGTATGTTATTTACTAACATTTGATAGATGAATGAATGGTTATTTTAAATTTGCTTTGTTATGATCATTGCCACTCTCTATCTTAATTGATAAATAAAACATATATACTATACACGTGTGTTATAAATAGTAGATATACTTTTATTTACCAAGCAAGATTGTGAGCTACTATGGTTAAAATGACCTTTGTGTATTTTCCCCAGCAGTTTCATGTACATATAACATTTAAATGAAAATTGCAATTGGTAAATTTAAATGCGCTTACGTTGCGTAGGAAAGCTGAAAAATAATATATTTTTCATCTTTATGTAATATATCGAACGAAATATTCGATAATATATTGACAATATTACTCGTACACGTAAACACTTTTTGAACAAAAATTAAGCAACATCAGAGGTTTTCGATTATGCAATGCTTCAGGCATTCCTATTAAAACAAGACAGTCGCTTTATTTCTTTTTTAGCCTGCCCAAGATGTTCAGCAGAAACATGATACAGACGTGCAGTTCTCTCTTGAAAGAGAAAATTCGAAAGAATCTGATAAAATGGAAATATCGAAAGACAATTTCAATAAAGAGGTAGACTCAAATTACCTGCCATTTTAGCAAAGTTCTGAATCTTTATCAAATAAAAAAATAAAAGCAAAATTAAAAATGCTTTAATTTTCATACATTCATTGGATAAAATCATTTGTTCCTAGCCTAAGAAAAAGAAGAAGAAAATGAAAATACCATCTTTCCGGAAAAGAAAAAAGGTAAGCTTTATGTTTTGACATTTACGGCAGTGGATTGGAACAAAAAAAAAAACCCTTAGCTAGCGAAGATGAGTTTGCAGGGTGAGATGAGAAATTTTGTATAGTTGAGAGTTTAAAGGCAGGGGTGAAATTTAAAAAAAAATCAACATTTGATACATGGACTATTAAAAGAATATTGAAACTGTCAGCCAGAAGTAATAGTGAAGAATAAAAATAGGCTTTTTCTATATGTATCAAAGTAACCCAATATATACATATATAAATTCATTTTCTTTAATATTCAAGCAATTGTATCAAATTATTACTCTGTTATGCAGGAAGACGTGGAATCTGAAGTTCAGCCAACTTCGGTAAGAGTTTGTTTCAAGCAAATTAATGTAATGTATATCAAAATAAACAATAATGAAAGAAATGTATTTTTACTATTGCAAAAATTAATCTATTGCCCTTAAAGGTTGCTCAGTCACCCACTTCTCAGAGAACGGCATCACTTCCGGTCAGTCACCAAGAACAAATGATGAAGCAAACTACGGTAATTGTTACGTGTACCTGTTTTTAGTGTCACATGTACACGTTGAATTTACTTATTGGGGAAAAAATTACCCTAGTTTAAATTCACATTTGAATTTTGCAGAAGGTTAAGAAGGACAGTATTATGTAGCAATTGTTTTTCATATCAATTAAATACAATCAATCGTATATCTTAAGTTCAACTTGTCAATATAACTACCTTTACAGTATATTATTGTAGTTGTGCTTGTTGAATGATTGTACATGTGCATATGGTTTCAATTTTCATTCTATTGCATATTTATATGAATGTAAAAGGCATATAGCTTCATGTTCTGCTTTTTTGAATATGTTTGCATGATCGTCAATGTGTAGACAATACCAGATGTATCAATCAGACAGCATCATGTACAAGCTCTGGAACAACCACGTGTTCACAGCTACTCTTACGAATCTCCGGACCACTTCATTGATACTGAGAATTCTGGACATTTACTGGTAACAGAATCGTTGATGTATTCAATGGTTTCTTAAACAATCCAGGAAATATTCCTTAATGACTAATTAAACTAACTGATGAACCTTTTTTCCTATCATATACTAATTTTTCAGATGCTTTATGGTGTCTTTATGTCATTTATAATTTACGGGCATTGTAGATTTTGAAATAATATTAACAAATATCTTAACCCGTCGAGTATGTACTTTAATTGATGCTTATTGTTTTAATTAATTAGCTTGACCCTTGTCGAAGAACTGTCGAAGAACTAGCTTACTATTCTGTTATGTCTTGGCCTGAGTTCAAGAAAGCTTGTTTTTGAGAATGGCTAATACTTTTACTTATTAGTTTCGTGTGCTGAGAACCAATGAAAGCACTGTTGTTTTCGTATCAAAAGCAGGAATGAACACTCTCTTATCAGAAGGAATCTTTAAAACTGTTAATATCTAAATTTTTTTCAGTCAAGGGAAGAAAGAAATAAATCGAAACAGTTTTCATCCATGAGATTACCCAAAAATGTAGGTTTATCTCATACAGCTATTAAAGGAACCTATTATACATATTTAAATATTTAATGCATTTCGCAATATAGATACTCATATTTGCAGCAACAACGCCCTTTTTTGCATTTTATTAAAGAGGAAGGGAAGCCTGTTAACATGGTATGTACCTTGTGAAGTATAAACATATTTTTATTTCTTATTTTTAAAAGATTGAACATTGCAGACCATAAACGATTATACTTTTTACAGAATGAAAAAGAAAGTGTTGAATTTGTGGATGAAGAATTGCCACCAAACATCGTACGTTTTCCAAACTGTTATGTATTATCATAGAAGAAATTTAACATTGTCATGGAAGGTTAAAATACCTGGGATTTAGAAATATATTTCAGCCAGCTGCTTTTTTTCATTTCAGAATAAGAAAGTCCGTCAGGAGGCCAAGATATTTTCTTCTTTCAGAAAAAAGATGACAGTAAGATATTTGGACAGTATAAGACAGTATAAGGATATTATTTTTTTATAAATAAAGTATCAATAATCAAACGCCCAAAATTTTAGTATAATGATATGGTGTACATTACAATAAATATGCAACTAAGGATTAAGATTTAATACATAACATAAAAATCTAGATCACAGGGTTATAATCTACATTAATAGCCTAAGAAGAGTGTGCTAGGAAAAGTAACTGAAGATGAAGCAGAGGTAATTATATTTATATTGAAAAAATGAAAATAAAAGATGAATGGATATTAAATGTGTCAGATACTTTGTTCAAATATAAACTATCAATCCTAATGTTTCTCTAGTCTGCTGAAATAAAAGATGAAGAAGTAATACATTCTTCCCCATACAGTCAATCAGAGGTAAACTAAGTTTTCACCAAATCAAAAAATATCAATACCGTTATTCAGTCATTCTCGATTATTGATAGTGAATTTCAGAAATACTTGCTTAACTTTTTCATGGAGATCCGTCAATCATTTTCACTTTAATAACATTTTTTTCTTTAAATGTGTGTAAATTTTTGCATAGATGAGATTTATTCAGTATAATACAATTCAGTTTATTTTTTCCACAGATAAGTGGTGTTCGTAGCAGTGCTCCACCAAATTTTGCTTCTTCTGTCAGTGCCCAACAGGTCTGTACTTAGCTCGACTACTTAAGGCATAATAAATTTTAAATTAATATATCAATTTCTAAATTAATATATTCATATTATATAAGGTTGGAATATTCTCAATGAAATATATGGAGATAACGAACAGTATTCAAGCTCAAAAGTCCATTAAACAATACAAAATAGGAGCAGAACAAACACGGACCTCTAAACATCAGAGGTGGGATCAGGTGCCATGGAGGAGTGAGCATCCCCTGCCGACCGGTCACACCCGCCGCGTGTTTGTTTCACATCATCTAAGAATTAACCTATCTTTTTGTTTGTCATTTTTTCATGATCAACTTAATGTATAATTGTGTTATTCCTATGATTTGTACTTATAACATTAATAGAAATGAGGCATAGTCATACATGCACCTTATACGTGCAATGTTTAAAAGTCTCATGGAGAGTAAATGATTTGTTGTAACATTTATAGAAATGGGACATATTCACACGCAATACTTGCAATTTTTAGAGTCTAATGGTGAGTGAGGTGACAAAGCAGAGATCTCAAACACTACAACCTACTCGAACACTCCATGTAAGTAACAGTCTATCATAAATCACTTTATGTAAGTAACAATCTACCCAAACACTCTAAGTAACAGCCTAATCAAACACTCTAAGTAACTTGCCCACTCGAGCACTTTAAGTAACAGACTACTCGACCACTCCAAGTAACAGCGTACTCAAATACTCAAAGTAACAGCCTACTTGAACACTCTAAGTAACAGCCTTTTCGAACACACTCCATGTACGTTAAAGCCTATTCAAATATTCCATGTAAGTAACATCCTGTTTAACACTACATGTAAGTGACAGCCTTTTTGAACACTAAGTAACAAGCTACTGAAATACTCTAAGTAACACTAAATAACAGCTTACTTGATCACTCCATGCAAGTAACAACCTGTTTAACACTCTATGTAAGTGACAGTCTGTTTGAACACTTTAGCTAATAAGCTACTGAAACATTCAAGTAACAGCCGTACTCGAAATCGAACAATCTTGTAACTAATAGTCCAGCGTCTGATGACCTATTATCTACTTGAACACTCCATATAAGTAAAAGTCTGTGTCTGATGATCAACATGATAATTTTAAATTGAAATCTGTTTTCAAAAATTTTAATATTTTTACACACGAACTCGGGATGAATTTATCTTTGAAATATAAAAATGATCGCTAATTGACTTGTGTTTATGCAAAACAAAGCCGCGAAAATAATAAGAGATTTTTTTAAAAAAAGAATGATTTGATGCTGAATGAAGTCTTGCCTATAACCTTTTTAATTAACCAAAATAACATATGTACATGTATGTGTATGATATATATATAATGCCAGCTTTGCAAGTACATATAAGAAAAAAGAAGGAATTAAAGCAATGTGATCAGTATTAGCGTACTAAAGGGAAATTTTCTTACAGGTCGAAATTGTAATGGAAAGATATTATTGTAAAAGGAAGGATCTAATAATATCTTTTTAAAATTTAAAAAAAAAATCTTCAGTATTCAAGTATTAATCATATAGGGGAGGTAAATAGTGAGTATGTGAAACAATCAAGGTAATTCCTTAATCTTTGTGGTTTAAAGTTGGAAGCGTTACCTTTCATAGTGTATGATGACTATGGCAAAATATTTCTAGTGATGCCTAGTAGTCTAGTAGTATTGAGTATAATGAATTATTAACTATTAGTAGTTTTATTATTCATGTTAATAATAAAACAAGGTGTATATTATAATAATTAATATTATAATAATATATAATTGTAACGAAAAAAAAACCCAAAAACAAACAAACAAACAAAGAAATAAATCCGTACCATTTCTGTCTTTACTTTTAGTCGCCTACTGAAGAGAGCAGCAAACCTAGATCCGCCACCGTGACAATAGAATCAGCTGTAAGTTGATGCTTCTGTCGATATTTATGTTAAATTTCGTGAGAACTTGATTAAACTATCTTTGATGTTTTTATAGACACTACCCCGAAGTGAGAGACCACTCGATATCGAAGTGGAAAACGAGCCAACCAAGGTTATCATCCTTATACAATTAGTCTGAATTTTACCAGGAGAAATTAAATTGATTTAGTGTGAAAAAACCTAAAAGGAAGATAATTATTTATTTTGTTATATTTTACAGAAAAAGAAGAAAGGGAGTTCAATTATGAAGACATTGTCATTTAGAAAATCCTCCAAAATTCTGGTAAGCTCTAGCTTGGAGATGTCTTCTTCGTAACAATGATCGTAATGTTCTTATTATTTGGAAAAATAGATCATTCGTTTCAAGGCAATTACTTTTTATTTTTTGCTGGAGTTTTGTAAAAGCTGAAAATTGAATTGTTTGTTTGTTTATAATAGTTTTAAAAAAATTGTGATGGATATTTTCTGTTACATTAATGATTTTTGGAATACTATTATGTTATTTTCATTAGGAGACAAACGAGCAAGACTCATCTATAGCTATTTCAAGCCAACAGATTGATGAAGTGATAGTAGAAGAAGAGGTAAGATTCAACAAAGACTGATACATACTGTGAAACGTAAATGGATTGTATGTGCAAGAATTCGAATATAGCACAATCCATAGACAAATTGAACATGATAGAGTTTCATATCCAATGAAATATATGGAGATAACGAACAGTATTCAAGCTCAAAAGTCCATAAAACAATACAAAATAGGAGCAGAGCAAACACGGACCTCCAACACATCAGAGGTGGGATCAGATGCCATGGAGGAGTGAGCATCCTCTGCCAATCCAAGTGAACTCAAAATTAAAGGCACTACTGAGTCTGCCACAGCTGTTTCAAATTGAACATGAAAGAGTTTCATAAGAAACTCAGACTTGATCTAAAAAACTACTGATCAAGTAGACAACAATTTCAGTTATGGGTATATATATTCTGTGGTAGAATGTATATAACCATTGGCATATAGCAGAAAATATCTTCGTAGTCTTTGGAGACCAGGTCTTTCAACAAACTGTTGGAATACTGATGGACACTGACTGTGCGCCTTGATTGGGCGACAGTTTTTAAATACCTTTTTTAACACTTATACATCAGGAGAAGAAAAACCATTGCAGTGATTCGACATTTAGATATATCGATGATGTTTTATCAATTAAGAATAGTTACTTTCATTGATGTGTCGAATCGATATATCCAAGTGAACTCGAAATAAAAGGCACTATAGAGTCTGCCATAATTGTTCCAAATAGGGTTTTTTACTTACAATAAACAATAATGGCCAAATAACAACTAAGCTATATGACAAAAGAAAATGACTTCAACTTTTCCACTGTCAGCTTTCATTATTTATATAGTAATATTCAACGATCACCTGCATATGGGTTAAATTAAATGTCTCCCAACTGGTTCGCTATTCTAGAGCATGAACTGAAGATGATCAGTTGTTAAATCGAGGCATATTATTTACAAATATGTTGATTTTGCAGGAATTTTATCAACTTAGTTTAATGTCAGCATTTCGAAAATTTTATGGTCGTTATAATGTCCTTGCTTGCAAATACAATCTACATTGTATCATTAGGTCGTTTTTTGACTGACATGTATCATACTAATAGGTAAACATATTTTACTACTAAATTTGACAACTGATTACTTCATCTACCTGATCAATACACAGACCTCATGTCGAGTGTGACAGTCCGACAGGGGACGCTTATTCATCCTAGACACCTGATCCGACCTCTGGAGTTTCAAGGGGTCTGTGTTTTATGCCCTGTTCACAAATTTGTATTTGTTTTTTTTAAAGAATTTCGAAATTGATCATTTTTTATCATCACTTTCTTTATGAAAATAGTAAGAATGATGACGATTAACTCCCCTTGATATATTTTCAGATAAAGATCAAACAATAATATATTTTCTCGCCTTATACTGTTAGTATGCTAACATAAGAAATATGTTGCACAATAAAATTTTAATTTGATTTTTATTTAAATGCATATACATAGGATGATGGTAAAATAATACACATGTGACACAGAGAATAAACATGCTAAAGTAAAGAAAAGATGTGACGTTTCAAATTACCCAGTCTTGTCCGTAATCAAGACGATACCTTATGAGACGATCGAGATCTTTTTTTTTTTTTAATTTTTTGTAAATGAGAGAACTGGCTTCGGGACTACGATCCTTGATTGGACAACTTACAGCATTCCTACTTTACTGTGAGAAGAAATTATTAATACATGATATAAAGTTTGGTTATAATGATTTTTGTCTTCGAAATGCTTTTATTATGATACAATATTTTCATTTAAGAGTCAATATGAGGAACCCTATGATTTGGAAGAGTCTTCTAGGACACTCCTTGAAGAGAAGGTCCAAGAAAGTGAGGTAGGAGTATGTCTTGAGCAATATGACATTATCTATACTTAAAAATGAATACATTTTGCCTATAAACTTTGATAGGCCTCCACCGGATATACTGCTTGTACATTAAATATTGCATCACAACTGAGATGATTTTCCTATACTATAATTGAAACGCACGTGATCATCGGCAATTATCGTGACTTTAATCAGAAAAAAACTTTCGTTTTCAATAATCCACCTCGAAAGAGCAAAGATAAGAGTAATTAAAGTGATGGACACGCTTAGGTGGATCTTTGTCGCTGCAAGGACAAGTGAATCATCCGTAAATAGTGAATATATTAATCGTTTATCTGTCCGAATATTCTAAACCAGAGAACTAAAGTTCTGCAGCTAGATTTCATCTAGTATATATGAAAATGTATTTTAAGCCGTGACTAGTAAAGTACATATCACAAAACATTACGTGTTGGTAAATTGTACGTGGGCTGTTCGGAAATTATTGAGACATTGTGTATATTCTTCTTTCTTATGAATGTTTTTCGGTGAAAATTTGCATATACGTTTGACAAACACTAAGAATTGATAAAAGCAAGAAATATTTTTAAAATATTTTATTTCTTCCTTTCAATGGTATATAAATGTGTCAATGGTAGGGGTACCTGGCGCAGTCAAGAAATCGGATATTGAAAATTTGTAACACCAACGTTAAAACTCCCAGTGGATCCATAGTGAGAGCGAAAATAATTCAAATTGTGTATATAATTTTTCGATTTAAGTTTGACTTCATCTTGTGCAAGTTTGCTAGAATTTCGATCAGAAAAACGGAGATCATTAAAAAATTTAAGCGCATTATAGCAATCTGATAACGACGACTAAACGGATTTTGACGTCAAGGCGGAGCAGCGAGCATGCCTAAAACTTTGTGTAGCGGTATTGAGAACTCTTGTCCAGACTAAACGACCTGCTAAAACAAAAACACTGCAATAAAACATGTCTAAGGGTTTATTTTTTCATTGGTATATTTTTTCTCACAAATAATTCAACCAGAGTAAAAACAAAAGCTTCGGACGACCATCAATTATTACGGACTAAATAACGTTGACTCGCGTTGCATAACTCGGTACTGCATGATACTAAGTCAACCTGTATATGACACTTCGTGTATATTTTACACTGGGGTAGCTACAGCACACGTTAAATTTAATTTTTTTTTTGAAGAATTGTTTAAGAATTACGAAAGCCGGATAGGCTCATTTTTGACAAGATAAAAAAATAATTAACTCGTTATAACGAGATAGTTATCTCGTTATAACGAGTTAGTTATCTCGTTATAACGAGTTAGTTATCTCGTTATAACGAGTTATAGTATCTCGTTATAACGAGATAATTATCTCGTTATAACGAGTTAGCATCTCGTTATAACGAGTTAGTTATCTCGTTATAACGAGTTAGTTATCTCGTTATAACGAGTTAGTATCTCGTTATAACGATTTAGTTATCTCGTTATAACGAGTTAGTATCTCGTTAAAACGAGTTAGTTATCTCGTTATAACGAATTAGTTATCTCGTTATAACGAGATAATTATCTCGTTATAACGAGATAATTATGTCGTTATAACGAGATAATTATGTCGTTATAACGAGACAGTTTTCTTGTTATTTTGAGACTTAATAGCAATATAGGAATAAAAATGGCTGCAGTTTTAAATGCTGTTGAATTTTTAGCAAGTAATTATCAGTCAAATTTAACTTGAACAATTGATAAATGGTTGAAAATTTAATTTGCTCTGGAGTTTACTTATGATTAAATCTTGAACTATCTCGCTGTCAATAATCATAGCAACTCTAAGGCGAACACATTTACACATTTTTGTGAACTCCTCCTCAAATTGTTGCATTAGGACGCGATATTTTTCTTAAAATAATATTGCCAAACATACTTGCTTCAAACTTTGGCAATTTATTTATGACAACTATTTCTGATGAATGACACTATTTCGATATGTTTTGGACGACTTACCGGTATACAGTTTCATATATCAATATCATTAAATATCAGAGACAATATAAGTGCAACATATCGTTTATGCAACATATAATATATAGATTACAGTGTTATACATATGTTACTTCTGAGATTCAGAAATGTTTTGAAGACGGGGGATGGTGAGACATCAGCAGTTAGATCATAGGCGTAGTAATAAAGGGGCTAATGTCCACACCACCACTTTTGAAAAGGGGGCGGTCAAGAGTATCTTTGTGTCCCTTCCTCCATATTTTTTTTACCTGAGTAAATATCTCCCGAAAATAATGGAAAATACTCGTAGTTGGAATATCAAATCTATTTTTTTTTCTTTATACTTGTCAAATATTTTACTTGGTTTACCCCCCCCCCCCCCTTTGAACTTCGTGACTTATGCATATTGTCCACGATAATGAGGAATGGTGAAGCAAAAATGATATTACATCCTTTTAAGTAATAAGACGTTAAATCTGATCTGCTGATATTGACATTTTATCTAATATTCTGTCATGATTCAGTTTATATTTTTTTGCGGGGGGAGGGGGGGGGGGTTCCAAGTTGTGGAGATTCACGGAGACCTATTTGAGATTCACGTCTATTTGGCTGATCCTATATGTTTACCACATAGTGTCAGAACGTCAAACCAGAGTTTACAAAACAAAAAAAAAGTTTACAGAGTTTACAAAGCCAGTTCACTTTTATAATCTTTTTACTTAGGATTGATCAACGAATAGGCCTAATACTACATATGTATGTTTATATTATTAATACAACATTGAAGCAATGTCGTTAATTATTTTCCTCATCACAATATTTATTATGTAAACTTTACAAGCATATAATTTTTATTTCAAAAAGAGATTGATGATTTTTTTGGGGGGGGGGGGGGGTTAATAAATAGAGGATATTCAATGTTTTGTAGTTGATATGGAATTTATTTCACGAGTGGGACAGGAATTTTTTTTTATATTTTCATGAGTGCGAAGCACGAGTGAAAATATCAAAAATCCTGTCTCAACATACAATACACATTTCTTGGCAAAATTTATGCTTGAAATACACCTTAAGTAATGCTTATCATATTGTAAACTTTAGATATAAACTTTCATTCTATACCCAAAAAGGATCACATGTCAACTGTTTTTACTAATGCTGACCTTCACCTTTTATTGTGGCTTCCATAGAATAAAGAGCTCCAAAAGTTTTTTTAATTCTACCACATTGATAATAACCCAAAAATTACATATTGTAATTTAAGATTCCATGCCAAATTGGTAAATTAAAATGTTTCTTTCTTTTAATAAACAGAAGAAATATATAAATTATTAAGTGATAAGTACAGTATTAGTTCTTGATATTCATCATATTTATTATTGAGGGGAAGGAGGGATTGATGATAAAAACAACGTGAATTTAGTTTTTTGTCAGACATTGAATTTTGATCTTGCCCCTTTAAGACGATAAAATTGAACTGGTTTACCTTGTTAACAGGCAAGGAATTATCAAAATATGATCGTTAAAGCCTAACAAATGGTTTCATATCCACATGATTTATTCGGAATATTCAAAATAATGGGATTATTTCTATGCATTTTTTATTGCGCAAACAAATATTACGCAAACATTATAATAATTTTAACAAATTCAAGAAAGCCTGAACAGGGCAGTTAAATCAGCCAGAGTATATCATTTTTTTCTGATCACCTTGTACAAGTTGACAAAATTTTGATGTTATATACATTCCATTTGAAGATGACACTAATTCTATTTTGCAATTTTAAGGTATAACACAACAACATGAGGCGGTCACAAGTTTCCATATATTTGTCTTCGGTCTTTCCAATAAACAATACTAATCAAAGGCATAACACAAAAAAACTAATATGCTGTTCCATGAAATCTTTATCACGCACACTTCAAACAAATTTGATCGACTTGCTTCTGTATATTTCCTATAAATAATGGTCTATTCTTTACTTAGATATATCAATTCTAGATCAATTTTTATCTCGTTATAACGAGATAATTATCTCGTTATAACGAGATAACTAACTCGTTATAACGAGATAACTAAATCGTTATAACGAGATAATTTTCTCGTTATAACGAGATAACTAACTCGTTATAACGAGATAACTAACTCGTTATAACGAGATAACTAACTCGTTATAACGAGATAACTAACTCGTTATAACGAGATAACTAACTCGTTATAACGAGATAACTAAATCGTTATAACGAGATAATTTTCTCGTTATAACGAGATAACTAACTCGTTAAAACGAGATAACTAAATCGTTATAACGAGATAATTATCTCGTTATAACGAGATAACTAACTCGTTTTAACGAGATAACTAACTCGTTATAACGAGATAACTAACTCGTTATAACGAGATAACTAACTCGTTATAACGAGATAATTATCTCGTTATAACGAGATAACTAACTCGTTATAACGAGATATTAACTTGTTATAACGAGATACTAACTCGTTATTACGAGATAATTATCTCGTTTTAACGAGTTAAATATTTTTTTGTCTTGTCAAAAATGAGCCTATCCGGCTTTCGTAAAGAATTATAAGAGACAGTTTGAATTTTGGAATGTTATATGTAATGACAGAGAAAGTAGATTGAACGATTCCCGATCATTTCACAATGAGAAAATATCGGCTGACCAGGCGATAAAATGACGTAGCGATGCTGCTCCAGGTCAATAGACATATGCTTGTTTATAATTTCACCGGAGCCTATTTAATTATCCTATAAATTAGAAATTTTGCGCAATTGTTTTATTTGTTCTTTATGAAATGTTGACGAACTTTCATGAATTTATCTCTGTCCTTTGTGGAGTAAAAGTATTTGTCTCAATAATTTTCGAACAGCCCTCGTAGATGATTATTATATTTATTGTTTTAATGAGAAATTTGATAATATTTTTTGGCAATTGTTTTACCAGGCAGATAGGGAAGAAAGGAAGAGGCAGTTAGAGCTTGTGTTTCAGGACATGGAATCAGAGAATGAGGTTACTGAAAATCATTGTCATTTCTTTGCATAAAAAAGACACATTGTCATTTATTAAAAAGAAACCATTTCTTAATTTACATCGGATGAAAATGAAAAAAAAAGGTGCTTTATTATAGGAGGAAGACAAACCAAAGACAAAAATGCCACAGAAGATAATAAAAGCAATAAAAAGGAAGGGCAAGGTGGGTCTTGGTGGTTTAGTTACGATACTTTATCAAACATCATAGTAGCTATAAAAAAGATGAGGCTTTCTTATCCAGTATTTCTTTATTCTATTTCTCCTACAGAAAAAGAAGTCGGACTCAGATGAACCCGAGATGTTCCCTTTGATGGAACAAGGTCAGCCAGGTGACAATAAAGAAGTCAAGGTATGTAAAACGAAGAAAAACCATTTCATTTAATTAAACTTCAGTGTAGAGATGTAATACGATAGAAAAAGCAAATTCATGGGGAGGTGTTGTAAAGTATTGTAATTTGTAACTGGATCTACAACAAAATGGAACGTGGAAACTTTCGTATCTTGTGATTTAAAAAAAATTACTTTGTTAAAAATCACTCTGGTTCTATAAAAAAGTACTCTACAGCTGATATCAAAAGGATTCTGGAGTTCCTTAATTTTTTTTTATAACATTTAGGTAGTTTTCGGAGACCAGATCTTCCAACAAACTGTTGAAATTTCGCTGGACACTAACTGTGCTCCTTTATAGCCGACTTTCTATACTCCTATAAGGCAGATTTTATTCAAAATCTTCTAAATGAGAAGAAAAACACACTTGCTGTGGTGCTAAACTGGACATTCAGATATATTGATGACATTTTTCAATTAACAATAGTTACTTCCATTTATATGTCGACTCGATATATCTAAGTAAGCTTGAAATAGAAGACACCTCTGAGTCTTCCACATTTCTTTCACATTTAGATGTTTACTGACTATAGACGATAAGGGCCAACTAACAACTAAATTGTATGACAAACAAAATGACTTCAGCTTTTCCATCGTCAACGTAATTAATTTCCTTATTTATGTAGTAATATTCCGCTATCACCTGCATATAGTGTTTACATCTCCCAACTTATTCGATACTCAAGAGCATTTAAAACCGAGACAGGCTACTGACAGATAATTGATATTACAGGGATTTCAATAACTTCGATTTAAGTCTGCATTTCGTAAATTCTATGGTCATTATAATATAATGACCTTGTTAACAAATATAACCTGTCATTGGGTCGTATTTTAGTTAATGTGTTTTATACCAATTCTAGCCCCCTTTTTTTTTTATACTAAACTTGACTACGGAATGTATTTCTACGTCGTCAATACATAGGGCTCATGTGTGACAGGTCAACAGGGGATGCTTACTCATTCTAGGCACCAGATCTGACCTCTGGATTTCCAGGGGTCTGTGTTTTATGCCCTGCTCACAGATTTGTCTTGTTTGTAGAAATTTTGAAATCATTCGTTGTTTGAAAGCTTCACCATTTTTCATCTATATCATTTGAGATCTGACTGAAAAAAAAATAGTTTAATGGCTTACAAAGACACACAAGTTATTTTTCCTCAGAAAAAGAACACATCTGACAAAATATTGGAAGTGAAAGGCCAATTAGGAGAGTTAAAAGAAATTGCTCAGAATAATGTCGACAAGTTGTATGAAAGAGAAGAAAATCTTGATGATCTGGAGGATCGAGCTGATGAACTATCTAAAAAGGTAAGAGAGAGAGAGAGAGAGAGAGAGAGAGAGAGAGAGAGAGAGAGAGAGAGAGAGAGAGAGAGAGAGAGAGAGAGAGATTTGTGACTTTTCAAGACTTACTGATGTGGATGAAGAGATAATTAATGTAACCATTTTAAAATTGCATACACACTTTCATGTATCCACCGTCGGTTGTGACGTGTTTTGAAGTGAAAATGGCGTAAAATACAGACGTCGAATTCTGAGTACCATTTCTCGATCGTTATTTCAGTGAATATTATTTGTTTGTTTTTTTATGGATAATTTACAGACATTTCCTCTATCAAAATGATGTGTTTTGATTTTGTTTTCAAAATACATTTTTATTTGATAATGTTAAACTAATATTTAAAGGGGCCTGGACACAGATTTGAAGTTTATATTTTTCTAAAATTTTCAGTATAAATACATATGTTGCCAGAGCGTATCACCAAAAATATTATAAGAGCGTGTTTAGAAACTTTTTTTTATCTGAAAACTATTAAAACTACCAGTTTTGGGACGCGATTGATTGACACACATCCTTGCAATTTTAGTATTTAAGAAAAGTGGAAAATTTGTTGTGTATTAATGAAAAAGCAAAACCAACTCACCAGTATTGTTAATCCGTGCTCAGTGATGTGTGCAGAGTAAGCAGAATGAACACGACCAGTAAAACGTTAACATTAACAATAACAGAGCTTATGCCCGTGTTTACAAGCACAGGTGTTTGACATGATGTTTTGAAGAATGTTTGAATCTTTGAATTTCAAAAACTGTAATATTGCTGTGTCTAGGTCCCTTTAATGCATTTCAATCTAAAGCAGAAAAAAGAAAAAAAAAATTTACAAATAAGGCATCAAAAGTTTAATATGTTTCCAATACCAAAGAAAAAAATGTTTTAAAACGTGTTTTATTTTATGTACCCTTAAAAATGTATAACGATTTCGAGACTGTCAACATTCTGGTTTCGATGAAAAATTCAACATTTTTATGTTCTGCTTTAGGCAGGCTACAGTTTCAAATTTCTAAATCATGTAGACCAATGCGAACCAGATTGTTTGTTTAAGATGCACTTAAATGGAGAAAATACCGTTCGTGATATTACGGATACTAGTATAATAGAACTTTACACATGTAGTATCAAAGGAAGGAGAAAAATCCACTGTTTAGGTCGTCTGTCGTCATCTGTCGTATGTTAACATTTGAATATTTTCAGGAACTGCTCAATCAATTTCAACCAATTTTGGAATATAGCATTAATGAATGAAGGGGTGCAAATATCGTGAATTTGATGGTTTTTGCCCCCCCCCCCCCCCCCCCCGGAGGTTTAGTGGGGCCATCGTTGGATACCCACGATATATCCTCGTCTTAAACTTATCACCCGTGGGCAAACTCGCTGAAATATCGTCGTTTATTATGCAAATTCGTCGATTATAAACAACCAATCAGAAAGTTGGAACTCCTCAATTTTGAAAATACGTTTATAAGTTTGCCATTTATGGCTATATCTTGAGGCAGCCTTTTTGTTGCTTAAGTTCAGTAAAAGATATTGATACTGGTAAATTTGAGTAAAATATGATGTAAAACTAGAACATATTCAGCTCCAGAATTGAAAATTCACATGAAAATATGCTACACTTTAAGTTCTCTTACGAGAAAATGTATGATTCAATTTTTACAAAAAATCAACAGATTGAGTGAAATGGATCACAGATTATAATGTGTCAAAATACGGAAAATTGAAATGATGAATTCAGATAGCGATTAAAAAGAATTCAATGGCAAAAAAGTGAAAGATTCAGTATATGACGTCACAACCTTTGACCTCTTAATATGACCTTGACCTTTATTGTAGATAAAGAATGGAGACTCCTCACCGTATATGTCCAAATATCAGCCCTCTACTATTTATGGATCAAAAGTTACACTGCATTTAATAACAGTTTGACATATCGCATTTAGACAGCATAAACACATTCTAAAATGTAAACTCCCAAGTGACCAATATATAGGACGTCTCTATTTTTTTTTAAATATGATGAAAACATGTCACAGCTTATTATTTTTCTTACAAAGATCATTGATTATTGACAATATAGGGATGTCATTCTTTTTTCTCACGAAAATTTTAAGAAATTAGTTAAAATAGATTTAATTGGTGTTTTGTAGTACCTTAAGGTGGGGTTCATTTGATTTTATAGCGGAAATGCATTAATACTTTGTAAATCTTCTCCTCTGCTACTGGGTATTAAGCAAACAAACTAAATGCATAGTTATGATGAGCAAGGGTGTCTCTTCCAAAATTGTGAAATGCTTGGCCCCAAGTTCGAGGGTTCCTGTGTCTCTCTGTCTGTCATTCTACCATCCGCAAATTTTTCTGTTTTTTTTCCCTAATAACTTTTTATGGTAGTCCTATTAAGTATAGGTTTCCTTGTTGAACAGGCAGTAAGGCTAATTTTGATACTAATTTTAATTCTGTACGTTATCCGGTTTGGAGCTGGGTTGGTGGGGTAGATTCCTAATTTTATATAGGAATGAATGGGCATATGAGATAACTGCTCCTCTTGTAAACTATGAAAGCTATAATGAGTTGTGGTTAATTAACTCATCTGCTTTAGAATTTCAAGATCTTGCTATAGAATATTCAGAGCCTGATCTTTATCTGTCACATCAAGATTAAATAACACCTCTAGTTGCAAGTGATGCTTGTTTTGAAGTGAAGGTCATGCCTGGGTGATGTTTGCATTCACCAGAGGTTAGCATTTTATGAAACACATCCTTCATTCTGGTTTGAATATACATTTATGATATGATATTTTTACTCCCTGATTAAATACAAGGATATTATTAATTTCGTAAGGTAGTTGTATAATTTTATTTGTCAGTTAGGAAATATGTCCAAATTTTATAAATACAGTTGCTGTTTCACATTTTTCAATTATTTTTAAATTTTCTTTTCTGATGATGTCACTTTGCAGAAAACTACTTGCCACAGTGACGGCATATGTGCAAAAACGCGGAGTATTCCACGACAGGATTCCTCATTCAAATACAAATGTACTTGTTGAAAAGATATTATTTAAGGTCAGACGACACTTTTCTCAAAAACGTGTAATTTTCCACAAGAATTTGTCAGTTTGGCACGTTTACTCACAAAAAAGTGAGGTCCTTACCAGACATCTGTGCAAAATACAAGAGGATGATGTTTAATACATAATCCTATTGGAAATGACTTAAATTGCCAATATAATAATTTTTGGCGATTTTCTTTTATAAGATATTTTGAAAACAATAGAAACCACAAGATGATGAAAATAATTACATGAAATATTTTTCTATGTAACGAAGAGATACAAAACAGATACTAGTATTCGAGGAAAGTTTGTCTGCCCTTACCTTAATATTACTAGTACGACATAAACATCAAGAAAGTTTTAATGTGTCTTTTCTAAAACTTTGATGGATACAAAGCTTAGGGACAATTATTCGTTTTTAAGTGTCCGAATTAAATTTCTTTCTCAGGCACGCAACATAACAGGAACAAATTCAGTCCGATTAACGATCGAATCATTGCTCGGGAGAACGCAATCTTTTGGTGTTTAATCCATATTGTTATATTGATAATATTATACCATGTTTGTACAGGCCCATAGAACATGGGGGAGTGAGAACGTCGGGGGGGAGGGGTGCATTACTTTTTTCTGAGTGTAGTATTTTGCTTTAGTTTTAATATTTTAATATATATATTTTCATTTAGATGCTTGTTGCCCCCTCCCCGTTTTTGTTGCTACTGACGAATTCCAGCATTTGAAAAGAAATGTACCAAATTAAAAGGAAGCCCCCCCCCCTCCCCACAAGAAATAAGATTTTCGAGTTTGGACCGTATAACTTTTTTTGTTTCTGGAGGTTAACCCCCCCCCCCCCCCCCACACACACACACACACGTTTAAAACCGCTGCTATGGACCTGTAGAGGTTTTTAAAAAAAAACAAAACAAAACAAAACAAAACAACAACAACAACGAACAATAGGTGGTCAATCTCATCCAAACTGTATCACATCTTAATCAAAATCGTACATACTTTTGTAAGCATTGCCATCCAGACACGTTACGTTGTTTTACCCTGTCACCAATTAAAACAATTCCTTTACATTATATTCGTTGATTTATGTCAGTGTTACAGGATACATAATTGCTTACAGACATAGACTGTCTTTTAATTGTAAAATAACCCACCTAATGTACATTATAAAATATTAAAATCATTCGATGATTCGAAGTGGTTGATTGATAACGCCATTTTCACTTTATTCAAACATGTAACAAACTGCGTAGATACCGCGAATATTCGACAATGATACATACACAAAAGAAAACAAAGTCCACCATTTTCAAAAATATCACTATATCTTCTCCAAATAAGTGGTGGATCGATACTACATCGGAAGTGCAATTTTAGTGAAAAAAAATGTTATAATTCGTCAAAATATCATACTGTAGAAGGAAAATGCATTTCCTACACCCTATCCAATGTTCACTGGATGCTATCATCTTCATATACCTGTATCTATCTGTTCTTATCTCTATTTCGGTGTCCTTGTAGGGTTTATCGTTTTAATTTTTGATTACACACTAAATGTTTAACTTTCATAGAAATTGAAGAAGAATCCTCAATTTTCACATTACAATTTATTAAAGGCATGAAATTTTTCCAATTTCGACTCTGATAATCGTAAAATGCTTAAATTACATTAACTTACATCTCTTTCACAAAAAACTACGTATAACCCCCTCCCCCCCCCCCCCCCCGCCAAAAAAAAAAATACTGTGTAACACCTTTTCTCTCTGACATTTTAGCTCCTCTGAAACACATAACAGGGGATCAAACTTTTACTTAGAAATTTATACTAAAAATCTATGTTTCTTCATAGGAACATAGAGAAATCCTCTTAAGATTCGAACAGCAAGGTCATGACGCAATACTAATTTTGGTTTGAACATATTTTATTGCACTTTGTAATTACAAAGGGATTAAGCACAAGGTTTAGTTTTTAAAAGTTAAGCCTTTTCACTACATGTATATTACAAATTTAAATTAAATCACGGTTAAACATGAAGATTTATTAATCCTATTGGACGATAGAAGTTTGGTGCTGATTTTTCTTTTGTTGTTTTCATTTTTGTAATTAATTTTTCTTCCTCATTCCACTGAAAAAATATAATATTTTCTTACTAGCATACTGAAAAGAATGTATCCCATTTTTGGCGTCCATAAGTTTAAGAAAAGCATAAGATAATGCACAGATATACATTTGTATATGGTATTAAATTTCCCCACTTACATGTATCTTTTCCGCAACTTACGGGACAAAGAAAATCCATTAAGGGCAGACGATACGTTCCTCAATTATACAGTCAAATCTCGTGATCACAAACTGAATGAGTCAATTAAAAACAGAAAAAACTTCGATGTGAAAATATCGAGATATTTAGGTAAAAATAAACAAAGAAAAAAAGCAGTTGGGAATTCCAACTAACGTCGAGGTATCCGTGGTATTCGAGACATCCGTGTTCGAGATATTGGAGTTCAATTATATATATTTTTCCCAAGAATTTGGGATTGAAATATTGATACTTTAACAGGTTTTCTCTTACTAACATTCCAATAACAGCGTGTCATTTTGCTTGATCAAGCGTGCTAAACGTTCACACGTTGATTACCATATTACTCTTTGATTGGCTGGTTGGTTAAAAAAACATACTACTTTACATATAAAACACAGGATCTCAAATACCACCGAGAGTATTGACCAATCGCATCGAACACGTTGAATGATTATTTACTACGGTAGAAAACAGCAATACGTGGTCAGTCAAAGCCTGTCTTACTTTGTATAACAGTAATACTTTCTATAATCTAACGTGTCAAGTTCAATTGTGAATTGACCGGGTAAAAATATTTGATTCGATACGCCAGAGCATTCTCTACGTATGAACAATTTCGAAAACGAAGTAAGTTATTGACAAACAAGTTGATGAAACAAGAATATCAACAGTCTCGTTTAAATCATCATTTCGTAAGTTCTATGGTCGATATAATGACCTTGTCAGCAAAAACATCTTTCATTAAGTCAAATGCTGACTGACGTTTTTCATACTAATTGTCAGGCCATTATTTACACACTGAATTGTCGACGGATTTTTCCGTTATTTCCCGATCATGACAAGGAGCACACGACGGGTGTGACCGGTCGGCAGGGGATGCTCACTCCTCCATGGCACCTGATCCCACGTCTGATGTCTTAGAGGTCCGTGTTTGCTCTGCTCCTATTTTGTAATGTTAAATGGACTTTTGAGCTCGAATACTGTTCGTTATCTCCACATATTTCATACGAATCTTTACGTGAAAACTAGTAAGCAATGCTCCTGAGTACTGGTACATGGGTGCGGTATGCAAGTGATAGCTAAAGAATGCATATTACAATACGTTTGATTCACACAACAAAGCGCTAGAGTTTCATTTTCGATGTTCAATAAACTCTAGCACTTTGTTGTGTGGATCAAATATTGTTATAAATCAAAATCTTTGGAATGTCTCTTCCTTGGGCTAGAAATATCTAATCATAACCATATATAACACATGCAGAAAAAAGGACTTTGTCTGACCACGTGTTGTGTTGCTGTTTACTACAAAACACTCATTTAATATGATTGTTCAGTATTACGAGGGTCGTTCAATAAATAATGCAATAGGTCATCTTAAAGTAAGAAAAATACGTAATACATATTCTAAACACTTTCAATCCCTCAAAGCATTCCGTATTATCCTTTATACATGTCTTAAGTCTTTGTACCCATGACCAGAAAACCCCAGCATACCCATCTTTAGGGATGCCCCAAAGACACTGATGAATATAACTTTCAATGACATATTTAATATTGTACATTCTTCCTTTGATTGTTTTCATGCATTTTTGGAATAAAAAGATCTCACAATGGCTGAGATCTAGCGAATATGGAGAATGGCAAAGCTCTGTAAACTTTCTTTTCTTCAGAATTTTATTTATTTCTCTGTGCTTATTTGCAGCAACGTTGCCAGGTGCAAGAAAATTACCCTGGGCAGCATTTGGACTTCTTTGCAGGAAATTTGTTTACCTTTCTTCATTGTATTTGAACATAAAAGTTACCATTGATGGTCCTTCCTTGGGTGTATGTACATGTTTTACTGAACCTCTTGAAAAAAATGAAAACTAATAAAACATGCTAGGAGCCCTTGTTTCTCTTTACAATAATAAGAACAATAGCTTTATCTTTTATTCCACATTTTATTATTCATCTTCCATTTTGGCTATAAAATTGCACCCATGTTTCGTCAACCATCACACAAATTTAACAAGTCTTCTATTTTGTTGAAATATTTGGTTTTAAATAGACCGTTGGCACATTTAATGCGTATTTTTCTCTCAGGAAATTTTAAAAAAATAAGGCATCTATCTGATAGAAATATTATTATGTACATTTCCGTGTGAGAATTCTATAAAATGTTATGACGATGAAATGCTTAGTGTTCTAGCAATGTCTTTGCATGTAAATCTGGCATTCTTAGATATTATATTTCACATAACATCGATGATTTTTGGTGTTCCTACAAATTTCAATCGAGCAGTTTGACTTTTATATTTTAACTCTCCTTTTTATTTTACTTTTGAATTGCTGAACCAATCTGAGAACTATGCAGCGTTAAAGACATATCTTTAATATGAGTTCTTCGGCGATTTTCTAAAAGAAGCACAGTTTTCACATACGCTCTCATTTCCATCTTCTTGGGAGAGATAATTTTAAACAGTTTTCAGCTCAGTGTAGTGATCATGCATACTTTAAAAGTGAATTTCTTTGCGAGGACAATAGGAAACATCATGGGGTTTTCTGTGAGCTCTTTAAATGAACGTTTCAACTGTGAAAAATAAAATTAAATAGATCTACATTTACTATGATATACTGTTTGTTGCATTATTTGTTGAACGACCATCGTACATCAGTGATATTGCAGGGTTCTGTGTTTCATATGTAAAATTGTATTGATTCTATTGAAATCAAACATCCAGTGGATGGGTAATTTGGTAATCCGTTTGTGGAATTTTACTTCGGTCGATCAAGCAAACGGACACCTGTTATTGGAATGATAGTAAAAGAATTGAGGCACATTACCAGGCATTTGTGCAAGAATGATAATTACTATATAATCGTCTTAGAAATCACTTGAATTGCTGATGTAATAATTTTTAGTGTATATATGTTTTTAGACATTTTGAAAACAGTTTGAAATCAGAAGATAATAATAATTAATAATATTTCTGGTTTATTAAGAAGAGATACAAAAACAGTTTTTCGAGGAACGTATCATCAGACCTTAATTTAAAGATGTAAATTTAACTTCGAATTGACATATTTCATATGTTCAGTTCTTCATGCAGTTTGGAAGCATTGCAAATAATTAAGTAGCTTGAAATTCTCGTATAACACCGCACTTTTTATCCCTCAGGCTTCACTGTTTAACGAGATATCCGTTGAAGTTAAAACCAAAATGGAGACATGTAACAAGAGGACCAAAGCAATCATCATTGGTGTCGTCATCGCTATCCTTGTCCTCGTTGTCATCATTCTCATCGCTGTTGTGGCTAACAAGTCTGGCAATACAGAGCCAGAGTATCGCACTGTTCACATTATCCATGTTGTTAATGGCACAGCTCCTTATACGCCTTCACCCGGTTAAAAAAAGAATACAGTGTGTTTTGATTTTGCTTCGGAAATGATTTAAGCTCACATGTAAAAATAAAAGCAAACATGTATATTCAGAATTCGGGATAGAAAACGATAGAGGTTACAAATGTCGTAGACGTTACTTGCACTAGCAAATAATTATTAAGTTCATTAATTATTTAATTATTAACGTAATTAGGCTTCTTTTTAACCATATTATTTGTAAGATGTAAACATACATTAGTAGAGGATATAAAAAATCCCGCATAATATTTTCATTATTTTGGTTGTAATCCATTCAAAGATCATATGCCTTAGATAAAGTAACAGCAAAGCTGCATTCTTAATCCAGACTGCATTTGGACAGTATTAAGAAAGGCGAATGTGCAATTTTATATTTTCTCAAAATTTTGCTCTTATGTCTCTATGTGTATCTCTTTACTTCATCAAACAATAAATCTTTAACAATCATTTAATTGTACAATATTTCATGTAGATATAATGCAAATTGTACTATATTTCATGTAGATATTAATGTACATCTCTACTTGTGTTTGTGTATGTGAATTGCCATAATTTGCCTCTAATATATTGTACAGCATTTGTAATAAAGCCTGTGATATCTCGAAAGGGTTGGAAAAATTGTCATTTGTTGTTTGAGGTTGTTGTTGTCCAAATATTTTTATTCTGTAGCATCTGTATTTTAGTAATCTATAAGCAGGCAGTGTAAGTATTTGTTAATATCTTTAAGCAATTTTTGCATAAACATATTTTTCGCTTTGTAAAAAACCTACTACGATATACAAATTACATGTTATTTAAAAGGGCCCAATCGAATTTGGATTCAGTGGTTTATATACAATTTATACTGTAATACTAGTCATGCATATACTTATGAATGAATTAACATAACATATAATCTGTTTTAAAATATAGGCATTTTAGTAACATTGTCTATATTGTGTCTGCTATTATCCTACATAGGTATCTGTTATCCCTTTTTATATCCCTTTTCTTTAGTTTTACCAACATGCAAAAGCATACTGTAGAATGGTTGTTTGTTTTTTTTTTTCTATTTAGACATTATAAGGCTGAGATTAAATCGTTTGAGTTGTTCTCTCGTGATGTAAGGGAACAGATTGCCCAAGTTTGTATTATTTATTTTTTTTCTTGAATGTGTATTGTACGACAATTTACATTGTGTATATGTATATTTGCAAATTGACTTAGAAATGCTAGTTAAAATAAAACGTATATTATGCTTATTTATTGTATTATTTCTCTTTGTCCTTTGGGGTATTACCTACATTCTAGATTTTTAAATACTTTAATTATCTAGACGTTTAAATTCATTCAATGTTTATGTTCTTAAAACATTTCAAGATCTCATTTCCCATTGACTTTCATTTTCCCTACCAAAACCTTGTAGTAGACTAATAATAAACTTTGGTTTACTATAACTTATCTTCAGTAAACCAAAGTTTCAAAGTTGTTACTAATAGTAAATCAAACATCCGTACTTTTCACAATAGTAGTAAACCTATCATCTACCATACCTCCTTCGACAATAGTTACCAAAACGCTTTTCCGGCCATAACTTGCATTAAATCTTCCAAAATGTGACTCACAACTCCATGACGGTAGTCAGCTTGACTTTCAGTTGATTTTTTTTTACTGAAAAAAATTAATTCATCTATATTGTTATATTTGTGCTCTTACTCTCTTCTTTCTTTCTCTCTTTTAAGTTTCAACATGAGCTCCGATTGTTTGTTTCCATGGTGGGTATCAACTCGTAAACGTCTTGTAATTATTCTAAATGGTTAAAATTATTTCAGTGAACTGCCAAGGTTTAGGTGATATTGCAAAGCGCAAGGATGTTTTTCATTACTTAAGAGCCTTAAAATATAATATTTATTGTTTACAAGATACACACTTTTCATGTGATGTTGAAAACGTAAGAAATTTGTGGGGATACCAGTGTTTTTTCAGCTCATGCACCACAAACTCTAGGGGAGTGATAATTCTAGTTAACAATAACTTTGATTTTAAACCTCTTTCAGAAAAGGGTGATGTTGATGGGAATTATATTTTACTTAAAGCATATATAGAGGGCCATGAAGTTTTGATATGTGTAGTAGTGGCCTTAAGTGAAGAATAACACACCACTTATGGGTTCATCGTTTATTATTAAATACTTCAGTGTTGATATGGATGGACACAATGATAATATAATAGTTGTAGTTAAGCCCTGTAATAGGAATAATCAATATTGAGCATAAAAAATCAACAATAACTTACAAGGGAATATGTATATTACAAGAAGGATAACTCTTGCTATCTTCTTAAAGTTTAAAGTACTTTACAAGTTATTTCCCTTGACTGCATTAAAATATATTAAAAACATTAATCCTGATAATGAATATTATGCATATACAATATTACTCAATAAATATATACATTTCAATGCAACTATTTCACATTACATTTATCTAAGATAAAAGTATTATATTTCATATTCTTATCAATTAATTACCTGTTTATGGAACAAGGCTTAAACTCAATTAGCTGCCTGATACAAGTCTCGGGTATACTACATATCAACTGTAAATAATAATTTAACTATATAACTTCAGAATCAATATTTAGATCCCATCAATGAAATTGATAACTGATATTTCTAATTACTAAGGTCGAATGATAAAAGTAAAAGAAATAAACTTGAAATCAATTGAATTTACTCATGAATGATAGAAAATGCATAAATTAGATAATTTACAGAAAATATTAAATCAGATAATAAAATATAGAGTGCACTTACTATCTGTCAGTACATCTTTCAGGTCAGTCAGGATAATTCAAATATGGCAGACTTCACATAGATACAGTCACTACATAATTATATACTATAAGACCTTTCCTCTACGGAAACTAACTTTCTAATGAACAAAGGCAGTTCACCAAAAGCGGGAAAATATATAAAGTAAATCTATTGGTTCTTCAAACCACATGACATGTATCACATGTCTGAAAATGACCACATAGGTAAAATAACCATAGGCATTAAATACCAAAAAGTCATTAATTGAAGAAGTCAACTAATAATCAATGAATAGCACAATAAAAGAACCAAGGAAGGATAGGGCAATACAGGAATGTGTATCTAATTGTGTTTCAACTAAATATATACAAAATGATGATGATGATGTAGATGATGATCAAGTGAAATAATCATAAAACAACAAGAAACACATTATACCTTTAGTATCATTTATTAATCATAATTATATTGAAAATGTCACCCTATTACATATGTAATATTTATGGTCCAAATAATGACACACTACTTTTCTTTGAAAATTTACAAAAATATATTGATGATATGCAGTGTAGTAATATTATTTTGTGTGGCGATTTCAACCTAGTTATAAATCCTGACTTGGACTATTATAATTACAAATCTATATATAATCCAAAGGCAAGAAATAAAGTTTTGGAAATAATAGAAAATAATGGTTATGTTGACTCTTTCAGACAGCTGCATGAAAATGAACGTAGATATTCAGGAGAAGGAAAACTCCATTGAAGCAAAGCCGTTTAGATTTCTTTTTAATATCTGAAACCCTCTTGTCAGGATTAGAAAAGTGCACTATAGATGCTAGTTATAGATCAGATCACTCCATAATATCCTTATCTATAGCTTTTAATGACTTTAAGAAAAGTAGGGGGTTATGGATCGAAGTTTAATAATTCCTTACTTCATGACGAAAATTATCTAGATTGTATTAAAAATGTTATTTTAGAGGTTAAGAAACAATTCGCAATCCCAGTGTATAACTTTGACAACATAGATAATAATCCAGACACAAATATTTCTTTCACTGTTAATGATCAGCTATTTTTAGAAACTCTGCTTTTAGAAATAAGAGGTAAGACTATTTCGTATGCATCATATATCAAAAAGAAAAGAGAAAACAAGGAGAGAGATTTCATAGAAAGTATTAAACTGTTGGAAGAAAATGTTTGTGAAAATAATATTGATGAATTATATAGTAAAAACAAGAATTAAAGAACATTAGAAAACATAAATTGCAAGGTACTTATATCAGAAGTAGAGCAAAATCGGTTGAGGAAGGTGAAAAACCATCACACTATTTTTGCACATCAGAATCTAGAAATTTTACTAGTAAGATTATACCTAGATTGGAGGATAATTATGGTAATGTTATTTATGACCGATCAGAAGTCTTAAAGGAAGCAAAATTATTTTATGAACAACTATATAAAAAAAGTGCAGTCAACCCAAATACTGATTTATTTAATGAGTTAGATAATGAAGAAATACCAAAGCTTTCAAGTAAAGAAGCAGTATCTATAGAAGGTGAAATTACTATGGAAGAAGCCTCAGATACACTTTACAGAATGAAATCTAATAAATCCCCAGGGTCTGATGGTTTTTCTGCTGAATTTTTGAAGATGTTTTGGAGATATATTGGCTCTTTTGTAGTTAGATCTATTAATTACAGTTATAAGAGTGGGAGTCTCTCTATCACACAAAGACATGGTATTATTACACTTTTACCAAAAGGTGATAAGCCAAGACAATACTTAAAGAATTGGAGACCAATCACTTTGTTAAATACCATCTACAAAATCGCATCTGGCACTATTGCAAATAGAATAAAAAGATACCTTGACAAAATTATCAACCAAGATCAAACAGATTTTATCTCTAATAGATACATAGGTGAAAATGCAAGGTTAATATATGATATAATGCATTATACGGAAGAAGAAAATATACCTGGGTTGTTATTACTTATTGATTTTGAAAAAGCCTTTGATACTTTGTCATAGAATTTTATTCAAGGAGCACTTAAATTTTTCGACTTTGGCCCCTCAATTAGGAATTGGGTATCGCTTTTTAATACAGACATTACATTTGCAATAAATCAAGGTGGTAATCTCTCATAGAATTAACATCCAGCGGGGTTGCAGACAGGGAGACCCATTGTCCCCTTATATATTCATTATATGTGCAGAAATATTAGCAATCCAAATTAGATTAAACAAAAATATTAAAGGCATAACTGTGAACAATATTGAAAAAAAGATTTCTCGATTAGCTGATGACACTTCTCTTATTCTTGATGGCAGTAAAGAATCCCTTACAGAAACATTGGAAACACTAAAGAGTTTTTCAAAAATATCTGGATTACACATTAATTATGCCAAAACTCATATAGTGTGGATAGGCTCCAAAAAGTTTAGCAATGAAATGTTACTGCCAAATTACAATCTTAACTGGGGAACTACTAGATTTACTCTTCTAGGAATACATTTTGAGGTGGAACTGGATAAGTTACAACAACTAAATCATGACCCCAAGCTAGTACAGATTAAATCAATTCTTAAACAATGGGGAAAAAGGTATCTAACTCCAATAGTGAAAATTACAGTCATTAAGACATTAGTTTTACCTTTACTAAATCACATTTTAATGTCAATCCCAAACCCCTCTAAATCATACTGTAAAGAATTAGAAAAAACGTTCCTCTTATTTTTATGGAATAATTCAATTCACAGGGTTAAAAAAGAAGTTATTGTTAAAAACTATGAAGATGGGGGATTGAAAATGTTAAACCTTAAGTCTTTTATATCTTCTTTGAAATTATTTTGGATAAGACATCTCATTTTTACAAATAGGGGCATGGAACACCTCATCCCAAATTTTAACTTAGAGAAATTTATAAACTGTGGGACTGATTATGTCCCAACTTTTCTGAAAACTTTGAAAAATAAATTTTGGATAGATGTTTTCAAATTCTGGTTATTATTACAAAATCATGAGAAAACGTCTGAGGTTACTGGTGACTCGCCTTTATTTTATAATCCAATGATTCATATCGGGAGAAAGCCTTTTTATAATAAAGAAATGTTTGACAGCAACATTAGACGGATTAATGATATCATTAATGAAGATGGCTCACTCTTAAGTTTTGAATCTTTTTGTAATAATCCAAAAATAAAGATTATTTTTTAGAATATAGTAGTATTATTCATGCTACTAAATTTTGGATAAAAAATTCTGGTCTTGACAAACCTATCAAAAAGCTAGAAAATCCATTAGTTATGTCAAATATTTACAAGGTGATCTTCTGTGTCAACAGGTAAAACAAAGTGGAGTGAGATTTTATAAGTCGATGATAAAGAATGGAAAAAATTTCACAAAATACCCTTCAAAGTGACAAAAGACTGCAAACTCCAA